GGATTGAGAAGGAGAGAGAGAGAATTCCAAGCAGGCTCTGCACTGTCAGTGCAGAGACCGATACAGGGCTCGAACTCACAAACTGCAAGATCGTGACCTGAGCCAAAGTCGGACACTTAACTGACTGAGCCATCCAGGCGCCCATGATATTTCTTTTTATTTTATCATAGTTTGACACATGAAAACTCTTCTTGTTAGGTTCTTCTCAGTGTTGTAAAATGCCCTGAATAAACGAAGGTGCCCTCAATTAGAGAGGCTGACAAAATAAGGATCCCAGAACAAGCTCTTCACAGCCTCTGACAGAAGATCCCTCTTAAATTGTTCTGCATATTTTTAGAATAAATAATCATAAATAAATATGAGTTACATTTATACCCATAGGAAAGTCAAACTATACTCAAGCTTTAAAAAAAAAGTGTTGCCTCTAAATCTATTCAACTCTCTAATGAAGAGATTTTGTTAACATTTGATGGTAGGTGTCTAATGAACATCTGTGGAATACAGACTTAAAAGAATGAATTGACAGTTCTTAACCTAAGATCAGAAACTAAATATGTGTTACAAAGTTCTTCCTTTTGTAAATGATGATTATTGTACACCTCACAGATGTTCATTACATATTTCATAAATACTCTAGAGACACAAAAAATAATTTATGTGTTCATATTTAGAGTTTCGTAAACTTCATCAAAAATTAAAAACTGGATTCCAAGAGTATAGGTCTTGATTATAATCATTAAGTACTGAAATGAGATATTTTTATATGCCATCTATCTTTTTGCATGGTAAAATCACTGTTTATCTGCATACTGTATATATGTCAATGTTTGTTCTGGCAATTCAGATAAAATATAAAATGTTTGACTTTCTCACTATAATTCATGGTGGTTTCATTAGAAATTATCATTCACAAAGTGTTTCATTTTATTTAAAGAGTTCTTTTTAATATTATATAGGCATCTCTTGAGTTTCTCCCTCAAAGTAAGTTAAAGAACAATGGAATAACATGTCTTGTTATAGAATAAGGAAGTGTTTGATCCATCAGCATGTCTTCTTGAGATGTTATAGTTCATACAGAATATAGGATATCAAATTCCATATATGGACATGACTAGTAAGTTTTTAAAAAGAATCAGGGACATCTTCTTTTAAGCTACAAAAGTATGTATGTACATATGTTTTAGGAACAACTTATATGCAAACTAAACTGTGAATCATCGTCTTTCTGAAATGTAAGTCATACAAAGATTAGTGAAAAATATGCCTTAAATTCTAGGTTTTCTTTTCCTTTTTTTTTTCCCTTAAAGATCTCTGGCTAGAATGTTTCTTAGATTCCTTAAATTTGAATACTCATTCGGTGACATTTCTCATCCAATGCCACTAATTTGATTCTGCATCACTTGAGAATCACAGTCCAGAGAAGTTTCCAAGACTAGGATGCACCAAATTGTTGGAAGTGTGTGTGATGAGCATGAATATAGTGAGTGAAGAAAGACCAACTGGGATTCATTTAGTGAGCAAGCAGATGATTTAATATGAATAGAAATCTTGGCATGGTATAATAGAAAAATCCCTGGGTTTCACCATAACTCAGTTGTGATACTTATGACGATACAGTACTTATCATGGCTGGCCCTCAGTTTCCTCATTTTCAATAAAGCAATAATGTCTTTTGAAATTAAATGTGTTAATACCAGAGTTACATTCGATAAATAATTAAGTATCTGCTATAAGCCAGGTTATGTCTTACATGTAAAAAATAGTGACATAAATAAACAGTGTCTCACTTTTGATACACAAAATTATGGAGGACATGGTAAAGTACTGATACCATTACTGCTCCGAATGTAATTACTACAGTGAATACAGTGTACTATGCATGCAAAGTATGACACTTGGTTCAATTGGGGGAGAAGGGAGATCTTTCTGTAGGAAGTACAGAGATCTACAAAGCTGAGATCTGAAGGATGGCACTAGGGAAGAGTCAGTGGGGATGAGAGAAGTGTGCTGACTCAAGAGGCAGATTGAACAGAACTTTATGATTAGCCAAGTTGAGGGATAAAGGGCAGGGAAAGGCCAAGGCTTTCTAATCTCTAATAATATGTACTGAACAGTAGGGAACAATCATGAATTTGTGGGTTAGGAGAAGTTTAGTATGGAATTGGATATATGTATCTGAAGAAAATAAAGACCAACTCTAAGCTACAAGTTTCATTTTAGGAACCTTCGGCAAACAGAGGGTCATGAAGTCAATGAAGATTACCTGAAGATTACTCTGAAAATGCCTGTAGAATAAGAAGGAAGGAGGATCTATATGAGAATGTGAAAAATACTAACACTGAAAGGATGGAAAGGGGATAGTCTGAAAGGACACAGGAAGAGCAGTCAGGATAAAAGAGGAGGGGCACCTGGGTGGCTCAGTCGGTTGTGTCCGACTTCAGCTCAGGTCATGATCTCACGGTTCGTGAGTTCGAGCCCTGCATTGGGCTCTGTGCTGACAGCTCGGAGCCTGGAGCCTGCTTTAGATTCTGTGTCTCCCTCTCTCTCTCTGCCCCA